CACCTTCCACGCGTGACATAATTTGCTCGTTTATCTGTCCCACCATTTCATTCGTCGGCGCTAAAATTGCTCTTTCACATAACCAGTCTCTATTCCTCATATTAGTTAGCAGTTCGCTATAGACGAAGTTATTTAGATCATCTGGATTATGCACAACATTGCAGAATTCACGATCCAATGTAATCATGCCATTACCATCCTTTGCCATACGATCTTCTCCAATTTTAAGAAGAGCAGCAGCATATTGTCCAGATTGTACATCATTGTGTAGTTGCACTCTCATATTTGTAGACAGACTAAACGTTTTTACGTGCACCCATAACGTTGACGCTTTTAAACACGCATTTATTTCATCTGCAGGGGTGCCTTTAGTGATAACCGGCAAAGTCTGTCTAAAATCGCCCGCTAAAAGTACCACCATCCCCCCCATGATATTTGGATTACTTTATTATATAGGCGATATCTAGCAAGTTTTATTTGGCTTTATAGGTTTTGGAAAATTTTTCCGATAAAATGTCTGATTGGACCTCTCGTTAAGTGGTGTGATCGTAGTCGACATAAAAGAAAAGAGATGATCAATTTAATTCCTAAATTATGGGTACACCTCTAGTAGAACAATACTAATTATCTAGTAAACTCATTTAAAAAAAATCAAAATCATTAGACTTGTATTCCTTCTTACAATCTAGATTTCCGCGGATAGCCGCGTAAGAGACCTTCGCTAGGTCTATCAATCCGCTATAAATCGTTAGCGTACTATGAGACTTAAACAATTACAAATTGTTTGACGTACGCTTAGTCGATGATGAATATTAATAGCCCATATCCTTTTCTAGGTTACTATCTATCACCTAACTAAATTTCATCAAAATCCGTTCAGCCGTTTAGGCATGATAGAGCAAAACTCCCACCAAAAACCATAAAAAAATCACTAACTCAATTCAGTTTTCTGCCTACTTCCTACCCCCTAAGTACTATGACGTGATCATTTTGATCTTATATCCGTTTTTAGGTAACCATCTATTACCTTACTAAATTTCATCAAGATCTGTTCAGCCTTTTATACGTGAAAGAGCAAAAGTCCCAACAAAAACGACTAAAAATCACTAACTCAATTTAGTTATCTGCCTACTGCCTACCCCCTAAGAACGATGGCGTGATTATTTATAGCCTATGACCATTTCTAGGTTATCATCTATCACCATACCAAATTTCATCAAAATCCGTTCAGCCGCCGTTTAGGCCCGTGAAAGAGGAAAGACCAGAGCCAGCAGACAGAGCAGAGTTTAGCTTTCGCATTTAAAATTAGTATGGATTGGGGCCGTTTAAAAGTATAAGATAGTAAGTAGGATATAAGGTACACCATATTTTTTGGAAAGGTTCCAACCGAAAAAAAAGTCATTTAAATTGCTTAAAAATAGGTTTCGTTACAGTTGCTCTTTGAGTATATTTAGTTCAATAAACAACAGATTTTGTAACTTAAATTGCTAAAGTGGAAACTTTTCTATTACATACATATTCCTTTTTAGTCTTTAGCAGAAATAATCAGGCAAAACGATACCGCAGCGTTCGCAAACCATCTATTTTAAACTCACACATTTAGGTACTGATTTATAATAATTTTAATTCTGATTCATTTCATCCAATACCTTTCCAATTTATATAGATATGTGCGTTTTATTTTTCAATTCAACTTTACATAATAAAATATCACAATTAAAAAAATATATATATTAAATTGAAAAAGTTAAAATCGCATTAGCACAGATTTTATATTATGATCGTCACAGTTTGCCCGACAGACAATGAAGACAACTTAATGAAAAATACAAAAGAAATCTTTCTCGAGTGTGCCTAATTCAATGTGCCTTATCATTTGTCGCAGGCTTTGATAGAACAAAGCTAATTTTCTACGTATTTTTCTTTCACCAAAGAACATCGCATTGTGTAATCGTCGACTGAGCGGTAAATGTTTTGGATTTCATTGTCTCTCGATATCATTGTTAATGCTAAATAAAAGAAATTTCTGAACATGACGTTTTAACTTCGACAATTCTTTATCTTAAGCTTCTCATTCATCGACCATATTTAACATTTATTGTATTTTAATGTTACTTTTAAATTCTGTTATTTTAAACAGAACCAAATTGTTACACCATAGTGTACAAATTAAATTGAGTTGTTTATTTTACTGATGAATTAATATATACTAGAGGTCCCGCAGTAGTCGAAATTCGACTATAATTAATTGGAATTGTAAGTTTGTACACTATTATGATTGTATTTTATACTTCTACTAGCTGACCCGGCAAACGTTGTGTTGCCTTAAATAAGATTTCTAGGGAAATTCTAGTCTAATATATAAAATTCTCAAAAACCTCATTCAACCACATAATATAGTAAGCGGCACGTAAGTTGGCAAGGTTTTGGTGCAGTGGGGGTAATGTCGCGCATAGTGTACATTGCAACAAAAAAATGGTCACTTTTATTGCCCGCATATAATATATTATTATGTTAATGTTATTTTATTAAATTTTTTATTTGCCATAATTTATTTTTAAGCCTGTGTGTTTAGAAGAAAGTTAAAGAAAAGAGAGGAATTCGTGAAGTGTATTAGGTGTTATAAATAAAATACAATTAAAAGTTAAAAAGTTTATTTAAAATATACTTAATATTAAAAATTATGTGTCGCCGTCGTCACTATCATTTTCTAATAGTGCTACCCCTTGGATTAAATTTATGGTAGCACCTGAGCTGGTGGAAGGAGTTGGCTCCTCATCGTCGACATAACGAAGAGTCGCTGTCGTCACTGGCGTAAATAATAAAACGCTCAGTGACTGAATCGACTATAATTATGGTCATTGGTATTTGGTCCTGCCATTGCAAACAAATTTAAAACAATAACACTCGTAACAAAAACTAAATTTAAAATAATAATAACAACTCGTAACAAAAACTCAATATAAACAAAGGGTTCCTACAACTTTAGTAGGCACATGTGTAACCGGGAGCGAACGGAACGTGGACGCGGTGCGGGAGGGGAGAGTCGACTGACTCACCAATCGCGCGCTCGGAACGGTGCTACGTCTTTCCCCGCGTCCCGCTTGACAACCAAAGAGACCTAAAAAATGACTTCTGCGCATCTAGCGACTCTTGCCAAGTTACGTGCTGGGGACTATACCTCATAATAATTATATAAAAAAAAAATGTTTGGGGTGAACAACCCTTATCACTTAGGGGTATGAAATATAGATAGTAGCCGATTCTCAGACCTACTGAACATACTATTGATACACAAATAAAACCAAAGAAACATGGCTGAAAAATGTATAGTGAGTAAGACAGGAGACCGGCTTCGTCCTCATCCCTACTACGTGATGTTTGCTGGATGAGTGGTGACACCTGGCGGGGATAACTGATCGATTGATAGTTGATCAGTAGTCGACCGGCGAGGGCGGGAGATCAAATTGAATTTAAAAAAAATCATAATTAAAGGAACTTGAAATTATAAACTCTGAATAAGAATTTATCGTACTACAATTATAATATTTGATTGCCATCTTGCAACCTTATTGCGGATCTGTGCATAGAATAAAAAAAATAAAAATCGGGATGGAAAAATAGGGGTTGATCGTATAAGAGTGAAAATTGAGAGTAATATATATTTTTTTTATTTTAAGTCATGACAAAATAAAAAATAAAATCTTGCCAAAAAATTTAAAATTTATAATTAACAAATAAAAAATAGGGGTTGATCGTGGAGGGGTGAAAATTTCAGAGTAATATGATTTTTTTATTCTAAGTCATGACAAAATAAAAACAAAATTCTTGCAAAAAAATTTAGTTTTTAATTAGCAAATAAAAAATAAGGGTTGATCGTAGAGGGGTGAAAATTTAGGGTTGTATGTATTTTTGTATGCTGTATCATAAAAAAATAGAAATTAAAAATTTTGTCTAAAAATAAAAAAAAAAATTTAGGGGTGGACTACCCCTAACATTTAGGGGGATGAAAAATAGATGTTGGCCGATTCTCATAGATACCGGATAAGCACAAAAAATTTCATCAAAATCGGTCAAGCCATTTCGGAGGAGTATGGCAACGAAAACTGTGACACGAGAATTTTATATATTAGATAATCACAAATTTCGCCAATTGCCTCTTCTGAAGCCTGCCTGTTCGATGGGTTGGTATTTCTCTGTGCTTTCTTTTATTTTTTTCTCTATTATTGAGGAGAACAGTTTATATAGTGAAGGTAGTAAGCTTATCGGTCTGTAATTACTTATATTATTAGGGTCTCCTTTTTTGTACAGTAAGATGATATCAGACTCTGACCATTGACGAGGTGTATACGAGCTGTTCAGTATCTGATTAAATAGTCGAGTTAGTGGTTTTGCTAGATACGCGCATCCGAGCTTTATGGTTTCGTTGGTGATCCTGTCGGGGCCTGGACTTTTCTCTATTTTTAGTGATTTAATCCCTTTAATCACTTCGGATTCGTCTATGACTGCTCTCGTCTCTACTTGATTTGTGCCCGGTAGTTCATATGTACATTGATTCGGTGCGCTATATAGCTCCTTGTAAAATTCTGTGGCTATTTTCAGTATTTCTGTTCTATTTTGGGTATTTTTTACTTTGTCTTTCAATTCTTCAATCCATGTTTTGTGTGTTCTGATTTCTTTGTATGCTTTCTTGACACTATTTGTAGTATTTAGATGTTTTTCAATGATTCTTGTGCGGTGCACCTTATAGTCTAGATTAATACGTTTACTTATGAGTTTGTAGAGTGCTTTTAGTTCATTTTTCATGGTTCTGGATTTCGGTTTTGTCCTTTGTAATTCTTGTCTTCTGCAAATTAACGCCTTTGTGCGTGCTGATAGTACTTGGTTTTTAACTGAGTTTCTGTTGGATGAAACCTCGTGAGCTTTTTTCAGGCTGTTGTTTATTGCGTTTGTTATATCATCATAATAATTCTGAACGGTGTCCTCATCTCTCCGGTCCTCTAGTAGGTTTATTAAGTTGCTATTTAGTGTCTGCTTGTAGGTTTCCGCTTCTTCTTCGTTCTTTAGTTGGAATCTGGGGCATTGACCGAACTTCCTACGACTTTTTGTTTTGGGGACAATGTTTAATGATGCTCTCACTGGTCTATGATCTGAAGGGTAAGTGATATTTAAAACCTGAATATCATATATGTTTCTGTGTAAGTTTGTTAAAATGTAGTCTATTTCATTTTTTATTTTCCCGTTGGGTGATCTCCAAGTCCATCTTTGTTTGTTTGTTTTTTTGAAAAAGGTGTTCATAATTGCAAAATTGTTCTCATGTGCAAAATCGATGAGCCTGTTTCCTCTACAGTTTCTATCTCCATATCCGTGGTTACCAGTGACTGTTTCGTTGGGATTGGTTTGTCCTATTTTGGCGTTAAAGTCACCCATGACT